GGGTGAGACTTGTGGAAACGTTTGCTACTGTCGGGCCAACTTTCTGCCTGCTCACGCAGTCAGAAAAAAAAGTAAACTGATCTCTCAAAATAAGACCTGTCCACATCGAGAACTAGCCCCGCCACATATGGGTGCCCGGATGAGCCTCCACGGAGAAGGCTTCTTGGTGGAGGGAGTCTCCCAGTGGTCCTTCCCAGTTCTGGCGGTTCTTTCCCTGGCCACATGCTGAGGGGTCCTCGAACTGGTCCAGCCTGTGCCTCAGGGCAAGAAGCCCCCTGACTCACACAGACAGGAGGCTCATCCTCCAGCCTTGCACTTCTCACACAGGGCGGCTCTGGGCTGGACCAGGCCCTCAAGTGCACATACATTACACCCGTGCATATACACATGCAAGTGTGCGCACACCACGCACACATGCACACGCCCATGCACACCCATGCACATGCATGCACACACATGTACACACACATAGACACATGCATTTACATGGGCATATAAACATGGACACGTGGCTCAAAAAAATTGTCAAAGACATGCAGAGTGAACAACTGTCCTCCCTGGGGCTGAGGTCATGCTGCTCTCTCTGGGTGCATTTCTGTGTTTCTGCAGCCCTTTCCTAGTGGAGTGGAGTTATAAAGTGGCCATGTCCTCTAACTGCGCCCACTCCGCGTGGCCTTCCGGACGCTCCACACAATGGCAGTCATTCAGCCGCGCAATCTGCAGCCCTGGCTGCCCTCCCACAAATCAGGCTGTTGATGCCAAACGCAGGCCGAGGGCAGCTCCTGGACCCACTGGCCTCCACCAGAGGCTGCAGCAGGCGCCCCAAGGCATGCCCACCCCACCCCAAGCACACCCCTCCTGGGCCCACTGGCCTCCACCAGGGGCTGCAGCGGGTGCCCCGAGGCATGCCCGTCCCACCCCTCACATGTCCCTCGCACGCCCCTCCTGGGCCCGGCATCCCCCGGGACAGTGACACAAAGTCAGAGGCAGTGATGGGCACCAGCCAGCGTCTCTGTCTCTGAGGTCCCGAGATGCTCTCCCAGCTTCGACCTCCGTGTTGCCCTGGCTCTTGGTAAAATAAACAGACGGTGGCATCGCCGGGTTTATTACAAGTATTCCCCAAATGCATAATTATCTCCGACAAGGCACATTCTTGGTGAGCTGCCAGCCTCTGCCTTGGTGCCAGACTCCAGCCCGTCTTCCTGCATTCCTGGGCCGTGAGAGCACCAGTGCTGTGGGCGGGGGGCTTGGCCAGATGTGTGTAGAGTACTGCGCCCTTGCAGGCGAGGTGGGGTCCTTCTGCACCCCACAGCTGGGAGGAGGCAGGGCCATGGGAGAGCCCCCTCAAACCCCAGCCTGGACACTCTCAGTCTGCACAGGATCCGGCCCCATGGCGGCCGTCACGCTGGGCCACAGTCAGTCCTAGGGCAACTGGCCTGTTTTCGCTTCTGCAGAAGACCCAACCTCGAGAGCGGGTCCACATGTTGGATGTTCTGAGGCCTAGTCATGTGAACACTCCTGACCTTTGGGGGCGCTGCTGGGTCCTGGTGAAGCAGGGGTGGTGGGGGCTCGCCCTTCTCCCCGTGCTTCTTGGAAGCTGTGCCTCCACCCCCTGAAGGAGTCCCCACCTTCACTGCTGCAGGTCACGGGGACCCAACACTCCTCACACAGATGCACAGACATGTGTACACAGACAGAAGCACAGACACACACAGATGCACGGAGACACAGATGCACGTGTGCACACGCATGCACTCACACAGACAGACACAGAGGCTCCTTGGTGCTGACCCGCCTTTCTGGCATAAAGACCCTGTTTCTCAGTCTGCCCCTCCCCACGCCCCACAGCACCCCACTCTACCCTCACACAGAGCCCTTAGGGTTTGGGTTTTCATTTTGTTTTGGGGGTTTTTGTTAACATTTTTTCATCTTCTCTGTGATCAAATTCATGAGTAGGGAAATAATGTGGCTTGGTGAGCAAAATGCTCCTGAAAACAAAATGCCAAACCCCCTGCCATTCCCACCTCAGCCACAGTGACGCCCACGTAAACAGCCCTTGTTTGTGTAAATCGCCTGCCTGGCCGGTGGATCCCACCCACTGCCCTCCAGGGAACTTTCGTGTCCAAGGCCCCAGTTCTTCCAGCAGAACAGCTCTGACCGGGCTCCCTGCCCAGGCCACTCAGCTCCACCCTGAGTCCCCACCAGGCACCAGGCCCACACCCCCAACCCACTGTGGCACTCCCCCTTGGCCCCAGGGTTGCCTGTGCTGTGTGCCCAGTGCGTGGGCTTGACCCCAGCCCCCAGGCCCCTCCTTCACCCTGGAATCTGGCGATACTCCCTCCCAACCCCTTTTGCCTTTTCGAGTCTTCTCCAGTCCCTCTGCTCCCCAGCTGGCCAGCTCTGTCTCTTTCTCCGCTGCTCAGCCCTGCTAGCCTCACTCCCTGCTCTGTCAGGCAGAGCTCATCATCACAGCCCCCATCAGCCCACCCTGGCGTACTGCCTTTGACCCCTACACTCACCAAGCCTGACCACCAGCCTTTGCCAACATCTCTCCTGATGATCTGACCCCTACCTTTCCTGTAATTCAATCATTCTTCTAACCAGAATAGACTGAGCCCCCACTGTGTGCCACCCTGTGTGCCCTGGGAGCCCCACAGTGTGCAGGTCCCGTGCCCTGGGAGCCCCCACTGTGTGCAGACCCCTGTGCCCTGGGAGCCCCTGCTGTGCACAGGCCCTTGTGCTGCCCTGGAAATGCAGGCCCTGCCCTGAGGCTCCAGGACTCTTACCCGGCCCAGGATTCACCCTCAGTGGGAAATCAAACCCACCTGTCCCAGCCCTGGAAGGCGCCTAGGGCAGGGGCGAGAGGCGTAGAGAGGATCCCAGGAGTGAGAGGAGACCCTAGACTTACAGGTGGGGGTCATGAATCAGTGCAGCTGGGTCTCCACACTTTGCTGCATGGTTCCCCCGCCTGGCAGCTCTTCCTGACTGGCTCACAACCCCAACCTCCTGCGGAACAGGCTGCCCCTTGAACCCTGCCTCATGGGCCCTCCTGACGTATGATAAGATGACTAGTTTGCTGTCGAGAATACAAGCTCATGCAGACCGGGCCCTGCTTCTGCCTCTCTGGCACCGGCAGTGCCTGCAGGAAGTGGTGCCTTGCTGTGAACGGACAACTCCATCAGAGAGAGGAAGAGGGTCCGTTTAAACCCATCTTCACCGAGCAGGACCACCCGTCGGCCTTCTCGTGCTCAGGGAGGCACATGGGCCACAGCATAGCTGTGAGAGGTACAGGGCGGGACATGGCTCCAGGCCCCGGGGCCCTGGATGTGACTAACTTGTACCCATGAGTGCTGTGTTCCCACCACACAGGCCCAGAGCCGCCTCTGCACAGAGCTGCCTATCTCTGCAGCAGCCAGCCGGGGACACCTCCCACCTCTAAGGCCCGAATTAAATGGTTTAATCAATTAGTGGATGGAGCCCTCGTGCCAGCTGCAGGCTGCGGTGGGGCTTCCCCAATTGTGGGACACCTGGTTGCCCTGCTCCCCCCCCCCCCGGGCCTGGGAACCTAGCCAGCAGCTCCAGGCAGACACTCTGCCAGGATCTAGGCCTCCCTGCAGCCAGCTTCCCTCCAGCACTGCGCTGTCCCCGCAGAGTTGCCCCAGCTGGCAGAGAGGGTTGCAGGGCTCAAACAGCTGCCCTTGGTTCAGGACAAGGGTGAGAATTTCCCAGGAGACCAGGGTGTGACCAGGTCATAGGATCATGGCCCCCTGACGACCCTACGGCACCCACCCACACCAGGATGCCCTCCCTGCTGACTTCAGAGTGCCCACTCACACAGCCCAGGGACATGACCATGACCGCAGGGTCAGCACCCCAGCTGCCGGAGCAAAACCCGGCCTGCCCCTCCCCACCCCGCCTGGCAGGCCCTGCTCAGTCCAACTTGGCACGTACCCCACCCAGCAGCTCAGGCCTCACCGAACCCTTTTCTCCCCAACAGGGGCCCGCAGAGGTCAAAGGTTCTCGGGCTAAACCTCTACAGAGCCTCTGACAATGCTATCACTGACCGAGGACGACACTGATCCCGAGGATACCCAGTAGCATTGTTTGCAGCCTCCTCTCCACTGCATCAGACTCAACGGGGTACCTGGCCCCCAAAACCCAACATGTCAACCCAAAAGGATTTCCATGTTCCTTTATCGGCACGGTTCTGGCCCATCTGCTGCTCCTGTATGCTCCCTCCTGGGCACATAGCCTCAGTCACGAACCACACAGGAATTGTCTACCTGTGCCTGCCCCACCTGTGGTCATGCCCACCTGGGCCCGCCCCCACCTGTGCCCACGCCTGCGGCTTCAGCTCTATGCCCATGAGCACCTGCTTCTTGCTAGGACATGTTGGGGCCCTGCACACCTGAGCCCCACCCAGTGCACATCAACAGCACCAGGTCTGGTCCCCTTCAGTCTTCAGCAGCCGCGTGGGGTGGGGGTGGCCTCTGTTTCACAGATGAGGACCTGACACTCCTAGGGTCCCCTGAGGACATGGGAGCACTGAGTCTAAGCCCAGACTAGCCCTTGGTGTCCACAGCTTTGCTGTGGGCTGGGGGGGCTGGGGGGAACTGGGGCCAAAGTTGGGACCTAGATTAATGGAAAGGGGAAAGCAGGAGGCGGGTGCAGATGAGAGGTATGTCGGGGACACGGGTGGTCTACCAGGCATGGGGCAGTATGTTGGCTGAGGCTGGGCTGACTCTGGGCTGTGGGAGAAGTTATGCTGCCCCCCGGGGTCTGGGGGGAGGTCCTGAGGCCAGGGTGGGGGTGTGGGCTCCAGGGGCCTCCCCCCATCCAGACTGACCCCACTAGGCCCTCATACGCCCGCAGAGCACTGTCCAAGCAGAAGACACCTACACAAGCTTGGTCAGTCAGGGTCTTTATTTCTCTGGAATGGACATGACTGCCAGCCCAGATGACCACCGCAGGCAAAAAACATTCTTTAAAACGCAAAACCAACAAGAAAAAATCCGTATTTGGCTCCATACGTTTCTGTCACAGAAACAAGCTCAAGCAGAACCCTGGGCTTTTCACAGGCCTCGTACAGGCAGTCTGCTGCAGCCGGCCACCTGGGGCTCACTCCCCGAGCATGCCAGGCCGGACACTGCACCCCGAGGCTTTAACGCAGTCTGCAATGGCACCGCAGGCAGTTTTAAGACATGGAGTGTATTTCCTATGTGCATGTCCTTAAAAAAATATAATAACTTAGTTGGCATTTACAGCACTTCCAGTCAGTCAAGGTATCCTCAGCTGCACTGCATGAGGTCGGACACAGCAAGTACCTCCACAGCGCAGGCACTGGGTCAGGCCTGTGCTCCCCTGGGGTGTCCTCACAGGGCATCCCCGCTGGTGTTCCCACTGAGTGTCCCCACAGGCATCCCCACTGGGTGTTCCCACTGGATGTCCCCACAGGCATCCCTGCTGGTGTCCCCGCTGGGTGCCCCCATAGGCATCCCCGCTGGGCATCCCCACAGGCATCCCCACTGGGTGTTCTCACTGGGTGTCCCCACAGGCATCCGTACTGGGTGTCCTTGCTGGATGTCCCCAGAGGCATCCCACTGGTGTCCCCACAGGGTGTCCCCACAGGCATCCCTGCTGGTGTTCCCGCAGGGTGTCCCCACAGGCATCCCCGCTGGTGTCCCCGTGGTGTTCCTGCAGGGTGTCCCCACTGGGCGTCCCTGCTGGTGTTCCCTCAGGGTGTCCCCACTGGGTGTCCCCATAGGCATCCCCACTGGGTGTCCCCGCAGGGTGTCCCCACTGGGCATCCCCACAGGGTATCCCCACTGGGTGTCCCCGCAGGGTGTCTCCACTGGATGTTCCTACTGGGAGTCCCCACAGGCATCCCTGAAGGAGTCCCTGCTAAGTGTCCCCACAGGCATCCTCAGGAAGCAGCTGCCCCGGGACTCGAGGGCCCTCCGTGGGCACTGGTGGTGCACTGTTGGGCAGGGCAGCAGGGAGGCGGTCACTCTGTGCCAATCTCACACGGGTTCAGTCCCTTCTGCTTGGCATCCCAGTACATCCTCTGGAAGTCCGTGAAGCGTGGGGCGCAGCCGAGCCAGGCCTCCCCAAAGTGCATCTGGCCAGTGAAGAGGAAGTCCCCATGCCCGGGCCGCACGCCACACTTGAGCAGTGTCTTGATGTGGCCTCGCCAGCGGCCAACCCCCTCAGGGTCAGGCTGGAAGACCTTGCTCTTCTGCCGGTAGAGCCTGCTCACGTTCAGGTGGATGGCTGACTCCTGCTGCTCCGGCTCGTTGGTGACGTCCTGGATGGAGCCACGGACGACTGTGGAGGAAGGACACAGGGTCAGTCAACGGGATCCCAGCCACCGCCCAGGCCGGCACCGACGGGCACTGGAGCATGACGCCCAAACCTGAGCTCTGTGTTCCTGAAGTGCCGGCTCAGAAGTGCCACTAACATGGCACGCAGGTGTGCAGGCCTGTCCCGCCATGCACAGGGACAGAGACACGGATGTCTTCCACCAGGGCAGCCACATGGGTAGGAAAGCAAAGCACACAAACCAAGTTGTGTGCTTTCAAGCTTTCAAGCCTTTCACAGCAAAGCGAGGGAACCAGCCACAGTGCACACGGGTGGCTCTGCACATCCGTGTGGTGGTCAGAGAGGGGACACAAACATGGGTGCAGAGGCAGGTATGTGTGCGTCTGTCTGTGTGTGTGTGTCTGTGTGTGTGTCTGTGTGTGTGTGTGTGGAGAATGTTAGGGGGTGGACTATGCTGGGGGAAGGCTGTAGCAGGGGAAGGAACATGCCGGGAGTAGGGAGGGGGGTGTCTTGGAGTAGTCCCCACGTGGGGAGGCCACATGGAGGAGGGGTCTCATGGGGGGCCACGTGGGGAAGGGAGGGCTGCACAGGGGTAGGTGGGCTGCGTTAGGGCCACTCAGCAGCCCAGGGCCCTGGAGAGCAGCGAGCAGTGAGTGAGGGGTCTCCACCTCCTGTACACAACCGTCCTCGGAGCTGGGCGTCAGGGTCGGGGGGAGTCATATCAGCGACTCGGCGGCATGGGCAGTGCCAGGCAAGCGGCCGCACCGGGAGGCTGGTGGGGGCCGTGCAGTGTGAGGGACGGGGGTACTGGAACCTGGCCTCGGAGCATCTGTGCAAACGTCACACACAAGGCTTGGCCTCCAGCCACAGAGACTGCCACACTGCCGGGGACTCGGCCGCAGAGCGGAGGTTACCCAGTGACACTCGGGCCACTGACAGGGATGTTTACAAAGCACTTCCTGAGAGAACAGTCCCTCAAAAATCCTTCATCCAATGAAGCCGGAGAAAGGTGGGGTGCAGAACTCAAATTCTGGTAAAAAGACCAGACTTAATGGTCTGACTGAGACTGGAGGAACCCCAGAAAGCATGGCCCCCGGACTCTCTGTCAACCCAGAACTACAACAATTCCAGAGGCCAACTCTTCAGACAAAGATTGTATTGGACTGTGGGACATAAAATGATACTTGTGAAGAGTGTGCCTCTTAGCTCAAGCAGATACATGAGACTAAATGGGCAGCTTCTGTCCGGAGGTGAAATGAGAAGGCAGAGAGGGTCAGAAGCTGGTTGAATGGACATGGGAAATCAGGGGTGGAAAGGAGGAAGGTGCTGTCACAGTATAGGGAGAGCAACTGGGGTCACATAACAGTGTATGTATAAATTTTTGTATGAGAGACTGACTTGAATTGTAAACTTTCACTTAAACCGCAGCAATTTAAAAAAAAAAAAAAAAATCTTCCATCCAAGAGTCCCTCCCACCACTGCACTGGGTAGTGGGTCAGGTGAAGGCTAACAGGTCCGATGCCTCAGTGAGGCCTGTCTCCTTCCCACAGCGCAGAGAGATTGTACCGGGCCCTGGGAGGGGTCCTGGGCCGGAGGGGAGATCCACATGGCAGGAAGCACGAGCAAAGAGAAAGAACCATGGAGGCCAACACTCACCAAAGTCGCTTGTGCAGACGGCCAGGAGGACCTCAGTGTCGCTGCAGGGGCTGCACGGGGCTGTGGGGAGAGACAGCGTCAGGAGGCGGCCAGACAAAGAGCAAGAGGTCCTACAAGGAACGGTTCGTGGTCCAGCAAGGGCCAGAGCAACCTTGCTGGCGCGGTCACAGCATCTGTGGGTCACCGTCCCTCCCCCAGCCTGGCCCATCAGAGACGCTGTCCTTGGTGACCTGCCTGCTGTTTTATGGTGCGTGTTTATGGTCAGACTCGGCTTACAAACTCGATGCCCTTCAGGGCCCTGCTGGTGGTGGTGTGCCGATGCCCTCGGCCCCACGTCTCTAATAACACTTCAAAGGGAGTTCAAAGAGCACACGCCAGAGTGTCAGAGCAAGGAGGAACGACAGACGCGGCCTCCCAAAGACGGACAGCAGACCTGGAGTCACGATACCCCGGGACCTCGGAGCAGGCGGGCTCCTGCTCGTCCCCCCGCTGACCTCGTGCTGTAGCCGCCACCACTCACCCACTAAAAACTGCCCTTAGGTCCCGGCCACCGTCACAAAAATGGTGCTCCTCAAAGCAACTATTCTCCAGCTACATCCCAAACCGAGTCCCTTCCAACCAGCCTCCCAAGAGTGGCAGCCTCACCCAGGTCTCATCAGGTTGCATTTGCGGAACTCCCAACCGCCCCCCACTTGCAGATCTCAGGAGCCTGACCGCCCCTGACTCATGGAATGGCAGACTGCACCCCCACGGCTGCCTGCTCCTTCGACGGGCCAAGCCTCCTCGGCTGCAGGCTGCCTGATTGGAGAAGGCAACTGCGCCACGACCCCAACAGGTTAGATACCCGGGTGACGTCCCAACATGAGCTAGGGAGGGGTGCGCTCACCCACTGCTGCTCACTTCATTCTGCAGTCAGTTCACCCCGCCACAGGCCCCACCCCCACCTGTCCTCAGGATGAGGCGGGCACCTCTGAACACCTCTTGGAACCAAGCCCTGTTTGTGGAACTATCTCTGAAACCCCCCAAAACCGGGGGAACCCAGAAAGTGTGACATCTTTCCACGCTTACTGGGCCTCCCAGGGGTCAAGCCAGGCTTTGCACAAAACTCCTCCCTGGGTCCCACCCCCACCGGTTCTAGCCCTGGGCCTTGGCTGCCTTCCCCACAGACACGCGCCCCTGTATGCGGGAGACGGCCTGGGAACGTGGTTACTTGGCTCTTTTATTCCAGGTTTCCAAGCCTCCGCCCCTCACCTGTTTTGAGTTTCGAGGTTTGGCCCGAATTCTGTTAACCTGATAGAATCTCGGGGAGACAAGGCTCCCTCAGCCCTTTCACATTTGAGGGCCCCAGGACGGCCTGCCTGCAGGTGCTCTGGGCCCTAGATGACACCGTATCCGCACACCTGCCAGCCAGCGTGCACTGACCCGTGTTGAGCTGCCCTCACCCTTCGACCGGGCTGCGGGGGTGGGCGTGCATGTCCCCGGGGGACTGAGCCTTTCTGGACACACAGAAGCTCAGAGGAGCCTCGGGGCCCAGGGGTGAGCGTGGCCAGTGAGCGCCTGGCACACGGGCCAAGACCAGAAATGGGGCCGGCATCTCCCCAGGGGTAGACTGTCCTACCTTGAGAGGACAGAGCCAGGAGCGCCCACTCCTGCTGGACCAGAGTGGGCACAGCCAGGACTCAGGGCCTGGATTGGAGGGACTCAGTGGCTTTCCCAGTGACCTCAGACACAGGCCCACCTGCATCTGAAGCGTGCCCCAGGCTGCTGACTCACGTGCCCCACGGGGCTCCTCCTCATTTATCAGGTTATCACCAAAGGGAAAGCCGCAAAACAAGAACAACCTGTTTGATTCCTTTTAAACCCAAGCCAGCTCATGGGGCTAAGGTTGGGCGCCTCCCCCCGCCCGAAGCTCTAAACCCTGGATACTTCCAGACCAGGCTCTGGACCCCTCTCTGCACCTGGCTGCAGCCAGACCCCCTGTGAAGACCTTTGACAAACCTGGACCCCAGGCCCCTCCCCACCCTAAGCAGGGCCCTGGGAGCCCCCTCCCCTTTCCCACGGGAGGATGGACACAAGGACGTCACCCCCACAAGCTCATGCTGCAGCCCCTGGGCACTGTGGACCCTGACACCACGCCTGTCGACCGCGTGTCGGCTCCTGGTCCCCTGGGGGGGTCCCGGGAGGGCTGGGGGCAGTGGTCCACCTGCGACTCTTTCTTCCCGAGTGCATCACCCCAGCCCTACGGCCCCTCTTGCCGCTTTAGAGAGTGGACAGCTGGGGCCCATGCAAACCCTTGCCTGGGCAGCCCAGGGCACACAAGGCTCAAGGAAGGGGCCGACGGCACCCCTGGTGGTGGGCTCCGCCTTCCATGGTCAGAGGTCCGCAACAGTCCCTCGAGCGGGTGGGGGCTCACTGAGGCCCACGGCAGTGAGAAAGCAAGCCAGCATCCAAGCCCACAGCGACCACACCAAGGCCCTAGGGTCCAGCCACACAGGGAGAGAGGGAGGCTGCCATGTGCCCGCTTCGTGGATGCACCTCCTCAGGTTCCACTGAGACTGGTCGGCTGGAGGCTCCAGCTCAAAGGTGCAGACAGCTGAGCAGCCGTCCATCCCAGGCACAGCCCGGCCACGCGTGGCGGTCAGCGGACGCAGCCCAGGTGCCAAGGGCCTCTCCACGTCTCGGGCTCTGGACCTCCACGATGTAAGGGTGAGGTGCCTGCTCCAGTCCCTGCCCTGACTTGCGCCCGCCCGACAGCTCCGGTGAGGGGGACGCTGGCCACCTCCAAAGTGAGCGCCCGATTGTCAGCCTGAGGCCCTCCGCCAGGGGCCTTGGCTGCAGTCATCACAAAGGCCACGTGGAGACTTCCTGCCGCTAATTCTGAGCGTTCCACGGAAGGGATCTTGACAGGAACCCCATCTGTGGATGCCGAGGTGCCATCTGGAAACAATCACTGATCGGAGCCTCGTGACACTGTGGAATGCACTGGGCAGTGACACGTTGCGTTTCATTTCCTCACAGGACTGGGGGAGAGGGAAAGCGGGGTGGGGGGGGAGCAGGGGCACTTCTGGGGGAGGGAGGTGTGGGTATCTTAGGAAGATTACTCTGGAATGTGCGTGAAATGAACTCAGCAAAGAAGAAAGAGACCAGGCCCCGAGAGACCCAGGGCTTCTGCAGTGGCCGGGGCTGTGGCAGGAGGGAGGCACAGGGCGACGGGACCCCACCAGACCGAACCTCGGACACACTTGGTCCAAGAGGCACTACAGCTGAGGGAAGACCGCAGACAGAGGAAGGCTGGTCCAGCAGCAGTGGCAGGGACCTGAGGGCCAGGGCGGGGGGCATGGACATGCTCCAAAGTGAAGGTGGCTAGGGCCGGGGCTCAGGTTTTAACAGGGGCCAAGGAGGGCGAAGTGGACAGGGTGGGGTCCCGGCAGGCGTGAGAGGCGGGTGAGGCCTGGTGGAGGCCTCCAGCTACTGCAATGGTCAAGCACCGCGGCCACGCCAGCCTTGATCCAGTGCCACGTGCAGGCCCACGTCGCCCAGAGCGCCCCCCCACCTCAGTGCCTTCCCCACCCTCACGCTCCCGAGAGGAAGAGGGCACCCCACCCTTCCACCCCGAGCGTCGAGGTGCAAGTATGAGATCACTAGGGGGCCAGAGAGACCCCCCGATGCAGGCAGCCATCGGGTCGAGGGGCACCTCAAAAAAGACAAAGCGCCTCCTCTTCCATTTCCAGGAGTAAGGAGACGTGCTTCTCACTTCTAGCCCCCGCCTCCACCAAGGCTACCCCCAAGCTCCCAGGTGGCGGCAGAAGGGGGGCTGTGTGCCACGGGCTCAGCAAACCGAGCAGGTTTAAAGGGCGGTAGGAGCTCCCCCAACTAGTTAACTGCTGGCTCAGCTGTCCTCAGGCCCTGCCAGGTTTTTAAAGCAGGAGAAGGTGTGGCCGACGCTGCTCAAGGCCACAAGGAGGAGGTGTCAAGGAGCGGGGTACCACCTGCCTGTCTGTCTGTACGAGGACACCGCCGACATGCTAGAAACCCCGCAGCAGAAGGATCCGGATCAGCGCCGCCGCCCCCCACCCCCCACTTTAGCCACACCCCCGTCTCTTCCGGGGCAGCCCTCACTGAAGCCTTCGGTTCACCAGGGAGGTGGAGGCTCGCTCAGACCCCAGACCCGAGAGACCCCCTCTGCTGGGTCAGGGCCCAGACAGAGGCGACCAGCTCTCAGGCAGCAGTGGTGCTGGCCAGGACAGCACAGACCCCACAGCCATGCAGCGCTGACCGAGATGCTGGCTGCCAGATGGCCAGGCAGACATTCCACAATTACGCACCCATTCCTCTGGCATTAAAGGCTTAGGGCCCATCCCTCTTGAAAGGCAGATGCCAGAGAGGGACACATCGGCCCCTGGGGCCTCCCGCTCCACTGCATCCACTGGCCCAGCACAGAGCCGCCCCAGACGATGCCAGCCGCTGGACAGTGCAAGCAGCGCGGTCTCTGCAGGGCCACGGGCACACTGTGTGGGAACAGGGAGCACAGAGACACCTAAGACAGCCAGCCACCGACTCTGGACCTGTCCTGGATCTGCACCTGCCCAGGCCTGGGAGCCAGACACTGAAGGGTGGAGATAGGGGCAGTTTATCCAATAGATCATCTGCAGTGAAAATTTTCACATTTTCTCACCGCATCAAAGATTCTGCTTCTAAGTATGGCTGTCATCTATCTCTCTCCCAACCCCACAGCACCTTCCTACAGGATCAAAACCTCTTTTTAAATTTACAGTCCCTGACAGGGGTGCATGACCTAGTAAGCAAGGTAAGCACAGGCTTACTTGTGCTTACTTAACTAATCTGGAGTGAACAATTTCACTCCAGACGATCTGGTATGCAAGGTAAGCACCACACTTACCCTGCTTATTGGATAATCCGCCCCCCTGGGCGGAAGGCTCAGGCCCTGGGCTCCGGTCACCCGAGGTTTAGGGCAGATCCTCAGGGGTGGGGGCCGCAGCCACTTTTCCACCAGGAACTGTGGTCTGTTCAGACACAGACGTACAGCAAACTGTCACAGAAGTGAGTGTCCTGTCATGCCACAGCGTGACCTGATAACGTGAAATCTTATAAAAATCACATAGCTCAAGTGCAGCGACACTCAGGCCACAGGTGTCTTCCAGGCCAATCAAAATGTTAACGAGTAAGACAGTCAACAAGCTCCCAGTGTCTGCCCAGCGTCTTCCACCTCGAGCCCGTGGGCTCAGACTGCATTTGGGAAGGCTGGATTTGGGGCCTGGGGTTTTCTGGGTTTTGTTGAGTTTTGCTTTTCTGGTGAGTTTGACACCAAGCCCTGCTCTGTCTCCAGGTCTCCCGCAGGGCCCAGCCCTGCTCCCTTCCCTTCCCCCACCCCCATAACTGCGGGTAACCCAGATGAACGCTGCTCTGTTAAAGTTTTATTTAGTATCTGACCAACCACACACTCTGTAGCAGCTCTCAATGTTCCAGTTTCTGAACCCAGTAATTTCACTTGGCAGCTCGTGTGAAACCAACTCATTTCATCCAAGGGAGACTCAAGATTCTGAAAATCGATCTGAGCCAGGAGCTCACAGCAGTAAAATACGAGTTCCCATTCAGGAGGGAAACTGTTTGTCACATATCCTAGTAAGCCTACTTTACCCCAAGCAACTCTCGTTGACTGAAACACGAATGATTCCGTCCTGGGATGGCGCAGCCCCAAGCAGGTCTCTCCACCTTGATACCAGGGCCGGATCACTCTTTGCTGGGGGGTCCCATGCACTGTTGGGGGCTGCGCACCATCCCGGTCTCCAATTGTCAGATGCCAGTAGCATCCTCCCCCGGAGTTTAGACAACCGAAGTGTCACTGGACTCCAGGGCCCCTGGGGACACCAGGAATAGGGGCTCTGTGTGTCCAGGCCCGGGAGGGGTGGCAGGTGGCCCAGACGGTCAGGGGCTGCAAGGACCACAGCTGGGAGACAGGCCAGGCTGGGCCAAGGGTGGAAGGAGACCGACTCACAGGATGTCCATAGAGACGGGACAGAATCACTGACTTCAGAGAATGAGAGGCGAGAGGGACTTAGCCATCACCCCATCTAGACCCGCATTTTGAGACAAGCTCCAGGACCCCATGGTGACCCAGGGCAATGAGGGACAAGGGCAGCGTCCAGTACTGCTGAGGCGGGGCCTGGTGACCGAGCATGCAGGCAGCCACACGTGGTTCTCAGCACCGCTGCCACCTCTGGGGCTGAGAAGATGGGCTGAGGGGCCCCGAGAGGAAAGAAAGAACATAGCCATCCCCGGGAGAGCGCAGGCTGTATGGGGCAGGGTCCCCACAGACACCCAGGCATGGGCCCCGTCCACATTGCCAGAGCCCGAATTCCAGACTCCCACAGCCCTGACCTGGTGGGAGGGGAAGAGCTATGAGCCCCCTGGCTGTGGGCCCCACAAACCCTGCAGTGGGGTGAGGAGGACAAGATAGGGGGCAGGCCCCAAACTCAGCCAGGATGCAGGGGCACCGTGTGGCCACCCTGAGGCTCCACAGGAGGTGGGACCTACCCCCCACCGCCAGAACAGGGACAGGTGGGCAGGAAGGAGTCCTTCCTCAGACCAGTGGGCCACATGTCTGGCAGGGTCCGGGACCACCTGGACCTACCCGCGGAGTGGACACTCCTACTGACCCCAGGCCTCCCACCTGGACCTACACAGACTCTCTCCTCTCCTTCCTCCCCATGGGGACCCCTCCCCAACACCATCCAGCATCCACCAAGCCACCATACTGACCCCCTCCATCTGTGGGGCTGTTGGACAAGTTTAGGGGGACAGTAAGTTCCAAGTGCACTTCTGGGTGACCTTTCTCCAACCATCAGGCCATGTCTCCCGGCCGCGGCCGCCTCTCCCCACCACACCACCCGTTCAGTCCCACCCCGACATTCTCAATCTTCATCAAAACCCAAATCCACAAATGCCTCCAGGCCAGACTGGCCCCCGACCTGGACCTCACTGCTCTGCACTGCGGCAGGGGTGTTGCCAGGCTCACTCTCCACCCAAAGCACCTGACTGACTCCCACTCAAGAGAAGCACCTGGGCGTCTGACGGGCAGCAGCGCCCATTTCCAGCGATCAGTAACAGATCCACCCGTGCCCTGGAGCATGGGGGACTAGGGCTGCTGCCGCCTCACCCTCCAGAGGCTCCCAGGGTTCCCAGGGCTCCCAAGCAAACCCACTAGGCCCACGCCAGCAGGGTGGGCATTTTCCAGGGGCTGCACTGAGGTGGGGAGGGGGATACTTGTCACACCACAAGAGGAGATGCCATCGCAGAACCACCAGGAGGCTGAGCGCAGCTGGCATGTCCCCCGAGTGCCAGCGTGCCCAACGCCCCGGCACACCCCCACGGCACGGTGTGCCCCCGCCCCCTGGCTCCACTCACCGGAGAGCAAGAGCAGGTCAGAGCCGGAGCGCCGGTGCACAAGCTCGTACTGGAAGCCCGTGGTCCTGCGGCTGATGTCCTGCTGGGGCGAGGCCTCCACAAAGAGGCTGCCCTGGTCCAGGCCAAAGCAGCGCACCCGGCGGGGGCCACGCTCACCATCTGGCACCAGCAGCCGCAGCGCGCCTGTCTTCTCCAGGTAGACGTTGGCCCCCGAGGAGCCAGGGGCCGGCTTGATGCACACAGTCAGGTGCTTGGCGGGTACGAAGATGTTGGGCCGGAGGTTGACGATGAGTGCCCCAGTTGGATACATCCACTCGACAGTGCCCGCGGAGCAGCGCAGGTACACCTGCTCCACCTCCTTCTTGTGCGCCTCGTGCGTCAGCCCGCTGTGGGGAGGGGAGAGCAGAACCCTCAGCCAGGCCCGTTGCCCTGCAGCCCCTGCCCTCCCACCCTGGCAGGGTCCCCCCACGCCCCTCACCACCCACAGGCCAAGGCTAGCCCAGACCCACAGGTGTGCAGCCTGCGTGGGAGAGGAGTGTCCATACAGTCGCCCCTGCTTGGCCACCTCCACTGATGTGAGAGGGGCCGATACTCTGACCCTCAGACATCTGGCGCCTGCGTCTCTGGGACCCTTCGGCTTCTCCTGAATCACGGCAGCCAGAGGAGGCGAGTGTGGTGGAGGTAGGAGCCAAGGAAGGAGGCCATCAGACACACAATAAGGAAAAGCTGACACAGCCCTGCCAATTCCCAGACGTCGGTGGGAACCCCCGCACAAGCCGTAAACAGTAACCTGCTCCAGGAGTGTGAGCAGTTTTGGGGGGTGGGAGTTACTGTGCTGAGTTCTGTCTTTCAACACCCATCTTTAGGCATAAGTGTCTACATTTTACTTAAGGCGATGATTTGACTGCTTTTCATCCATTCCCAAACCTGAGGACCCTGCATCATCAAGAATATTTTAAAAATAAATACAATTGAAGCAAGATGCGTTACAGAAGTAGGTGACATCCTCTACTGGGGAGGAGATGCAGGCCACAAACGCACACCTGCGCAAGCGTGTGGAACACAAAAGACCTGAGGAAGACAGACAGCATCCCACCTTCCTGACAAGAACTTTTAAAATGGCAAGTTGATTTTACTCCTAACAAATGCCAAACAGGAAAAAACTAAGTGCGCCACACTGTCGGTGAGACGCGACCTTAGCAAAGACCGTTGTGTTTTCAAGAAATTGAAACTATCAAGAATGATGAAGCTTCTCCTTCTCAGGATGTTAATATAAATGTCACCTGTGGCTAACAGTTACATCATGACCACCGAGCGGCCTTGGAGCTGAACCAGTGACTTAGACTCAGTTTTTTATTACGTGAAATTTGGTTCTGATCAGATCTCAGACAGGTTTACCCACATTCCTCAGATTTTCAGGTGGGAAAAACAATGCCATATTCAGAGTCCCTGCCTGAGTGAGTTACCAGAAACCCCCTCTACACAGGCGAGAGCACACAGCACATGGTTCACATTTACTGTGGCTGACTCATGCTCTGGCCCCGCAAACCGCGCTTTTCATACGATGGCCATCTGCAAGCCGAGGCTGCACAGTCATCTGCGAACCATATCAGAGGGAGGTGTCAAGGAGGTGAACCCCCTCTGGCCCTGCTCCCTGCCCCCCTACCAATGTCCTGGGTCATAATCAGCCAGCCCTGCTTCAGACAGCTACCAGGGCTGCACACACAAGAGAGACTTACAAAATTACAGTCAAATAAAACTCACACAAGCTCATCTGACCTACGTATGGGGGCAGACATAATTATCGTGCTGCGTAAAAATTAGACTAAAAGGTGAGTGGCTGTCGTGGATAACTATAATCAGCTCTGCTCTTATGCAGCCCCAACAAACTTTTTCTTTCTAAATTTTATTTTATTGTTCTTGAGAACACACACAGCAAGACATGCACCAATTCAAGTTTCTACATAAACAATTTAGTGACGTTAATTACAGTTCTTCAAGTTGTGCAACCATTCCTACCCTCCTTTTCTGAGTTGTTCCTCCCTCATTAACATAAACTCACTGACCCCTAAAGTTCCTATCTAATCTTTCAAGTTGCTGTTGTCAGTTTGATCCCATATAAAACCAAAAACCAAATCCGTTTTTGTTGAGTTGATTCCGACCCATAGTGACCCTACAGGACAGAGTAGAACTGCCCCATTGGGGTTTCCAGGGAGGGGGTGGTGGATTCGAACTGCTGACATTTTGGTTAGCAGCCGAGCTCTTAACCACTGAGCCACCAGGGCTCCTCTGATCCCATACAGTTCTTAAAAGAACATATTGCTCAAGGCAGACCTTTTTTACTAGTTAAGCTAAATTATCGTTCGGTTTTAAGATGACTTCAGGGATATTTTTGGTTTAAGGTTTCAAGATTATCTCAGGGCAATAGTTTCAGGGGTTCATTCACCCTCCATGGCTCCAGAAAGTCTGGAGTCCACCTTTTGGCTATTGTGACTAGTGCTGCAATGAATCCTGGTGTACAAGTCTCTTTCTGAGTCTCTGCTTTCAAGTCTTTTGGGTACATACCTAGGAGCGGAATTGCTGGGTCATACGGTAGTTTTATTTTTAATTTTTTGAGGAACTGCCATACTGTTTTCCACAATGGCTGTACCATTTTACATTTCCACCTGCAATGGATAAGGGTTCCAATTTCCCCACATCCTCGCCAACATTTGTTATTTTCTGTTCTGTTTTGTTTTTTTTATCTTAGCCATCCTAGTGGAAGTGAAATGGTATCTCATTGTGGTTTTGATTTGCATCTCTCTGATGGCTAATGGCACTAAGCATCTTCTCATGTGTCTGGTGGCCAATTAAATGTCCTCTTTGGTGGAATGTCTATTCAAGTCCTTTGTTCATTTTATGATTGGGCTATTTGTCTTTCTGTTGTTAAGCTGTCAAAGTTTATATATATTTTGGTTACTAGATTCATGTCATATATATTTTTTCTGAAGATTTTCTCCCAGTTGATAGCTTGTCACTTTTTTGGTAAAGTCTTTTGACGAACAAAAGTTTCTAATTTTTATGAGGTCCTATTTATTTACTTTGTCTTTTGCTGTTTGTGCTTTTGTCATTATATTATGTAATCCATTTGTTGAAAGCAAGACCTGACGGCAATGCCCCTGCTTGTCTTCTAAGAATTTCATGGTTTTAGTTTGCACATTTAGGTACTTAATCTGTTTTGAATTTGTTTTTGCGTATGGTGTGAGGCACGGATCCTGTTTCACTTTTCTGCATCTGGGCACAGCAAACTTCCATAATGTCCCTCCTCCTCTGTTTCCAGCATCAAGGGGCGGTTGGACATCTACACTGTGCCCAGACACCAATCCTCAACTCTCAAACATAAACCAGGGGGTCCCAGGGAGTGAAGAGCCTGTGCCCAAGGTTCTGGACACCCCTTGGTGCCTCCCTTTCATCCTGGACACAGAGTGCGGGAACGGGGTGGCCCACCCTCCACCCACATCTCATGGGGACAGGCTGCCAAGGGGGACGGGGTGTCTGAGTGCGGGGGCTGCCACCCCTGGCCTGCATACATAAGCACCTGCACCTTGTGCAGCACACCTGGCTCAGTTTCCTCAGAAGTCACTCGACCAGAAGAGGATTGGGAACACAATGAAGTCAGACATACAAAAAATACGGTGCCTGGTTACTTAACCCTTCAGCTATTTAGTGCTTTTCAGAAGCCCACAGAGAAGAGTCTGTGTCCATTCCTAGGGCCTGCCATTGACAAGCGGCCTGGCTCTGTCTCTTCTCTCATATTTTCTTAAAACAACATGATCAACAAGAATCCAACCAGGCCCTCCACATGGGAATCCTCACATGGACATCAGTGGTGTGTGATGTGCGAGAACCCTACCTGGACAAACCTCCTCCTGCCAGTCCCTGAAGGAGGTCAGAGCTTACCAGAACATCAAGCATTTCAAACCTCTCACCTCTGAGTATCCAGCACCACAGCAAACCTGAGAAAACTTCCATTTATGCAAAAATGCAACATAGCTTTAGTGGTCATTGACAATGGTATTTTACCATTTCCACAGGAAATGCAGGAGACCTGGGTGTACTACCTGACCCGCTGAAATGGGTATTAATGCCAAAATAGGCACTTCCTGGTGAAGCGACAAAGGCAAAGGGTGCAGATGAAGCTATTCCACTGGAGGAGAATGAGCAGAAAGACTCGATCTTGGATTAATTCAACTGAAAAAATGTGTTTTTCAAAAAAGTCACCACAGCTCACTGCCCAGGTGGACACACCATGGTGCACCGTGATGGAATGGAGCAGAAGTTCCAGGTCAACATGGGGCCTTGCTGAAACAAATGGAGGTCTCACTCTGGAGGGGTCAGGGGGTGCCAGCAGCAGCCCCCCCCACACACACACACACACACTGCACATCAGCTCCAGCCCATAGTCACCGGATGAAAGCACAGCCTCATTCACTGAAGTCAGGAAGAGCTCGCGATCAAGGGGAGACTAAAATGCTGTGCTGACAGGGGTTGCCCTTCCTTTCCACACCTTGCAGGTGAGGTGACACAGGTGTGCCTGTACCTGCCAAGTAGCCTGCTGATGGTGTGGAAAGTTCATGGTCCACCTTTATGGCCACTGACTAATACAGATCAGGGCACGGAGGATTTCAGAACCGCCTACTTAATTGCTTGGAAACACCCAGAAACACACGTTGGGCCATCAGACGTGAGTGGACTGTCATGAGGAGCAGCTCCCTGCCTATCAGGGACCAGGACCCACCCTGCACTGCTTCCAGAACTGCTCGTAAAAAGTCATAAAAACCACGGAGCTACAGGCCGGCCACCCACCTGGGTTCCAACAGTGAGTCTATCAGCTTATTTGTGCCACGCATTGATGATAAATGGGGGCTGTGATCACAGGCTTTGTGCCTGAGGAATATGGCCTAGTCCTGTCTCCTCCTCAGACCCCTCCTGCAGCTCCAACGGCCCCCGCAGCCGCCCCTCACCATGACTGGGGCTTCCAAAGGGGTCTAGTCAGGTTCTTAGCAATGACGGGGCGGGGTGGGGAGGAAGACTCCCAAGTAACCACCTTTGCCTCTCTGAGTGGAAGGGGATGCTGGATGGGAGGGTGGAAGGCACTCTTCCTCCCACTGCAAGCAGCTGCTGGAGGGACCAGCCCTGAAGGTGGGGACGGCAGCCTCCTCACCACCCCTCACTCACAGCCACCTCCAGGCCCCCGGAAAAGCAGGACAACCCTTCCAGGAACACAGGCCTCTGCGAGGCTGCAGAGGATGGAGCTCCTCATCGGGAAAACCAGGCCCGGGCCGGGGACTGGGTTTCTGTTTCTAACCTGCAGGGCGTCCAAGGCCTGGGTTGGGGTGGAGGCTGTGAGCAGGGTGTTTAATGACTAGCTCGGGGGAGAGGGCAGCCCC